GGAAGGAAGGAAGGAAGGAAGGAAGGAAGGAAGGAAAGAGAAAGCCACTTAATATCTGGCTCAGATCACAATTTCCTGACATTGCTCAAAACACGAATCCGAAGAATGTAATAAGCACTAAGAAACCAACAGCACCAAAACGAGCCTCTCTTCTTCCTCCATCTGCTGGTTTTTAAAAGGAACCATTATACCATTCAGCCAAAAAACCAGTCTGGAATAGTCCACAGGAACCTTAAACCTTTATGAGTATGGGGCCGGAGGCGGGGAGGAGGGAGCTGTTCTCTGTTGGTTGCAAGGCTCCCTCTCCCAACCTCACAAGCCCAGGGAAACAAAGAGGAAGCCGAAGTGAACTGCTGTCCATATCCCCCTTAAGCCTTTTCCCCTGACTTTTGCCTCGCCCCGCCAGAAGTCACGCGCGCGCAAGGAACAATCAACGGAAATACCTTAAAATAAAATCCATCCTCTCTCTCTCTCCCTCTTTTTTTTTTAACGAAGCATTTCGTCCTAACAGCCGGGCAATAACCTTTCCATCGGGATCGAGTGCGGTAGCCCAAACGGAGACTTTCCGAGGGTGAGCGTAGCGTTGGGGGGTGGGGGGATCGGCGATGGATAATAGAAAGCAGTCCTCGCTCAGAACAGAAACTGGGGAAGCGTAATCACAGGCGAAGCCAGTCCGGGTCTCCACTCCAAATGGCACAATAATGCGCTGTATTATGTGCTCACGTGGTCATACGTCAACTTAAATCCTTTTATTTGAAATCGGGAATCGCTGAAGGAACCAGGGTTGGAAGCGCGAGCCTCTGCTGTATGTGTGTACGTGCGCGTGTGTGAGTGTGTACGCAAGAGAGCATGTGTTTGCTTTCCCTTCTTTCCTCTTAAGCTTTAAGCAAGGGCATTTAAGAAGAGGGAGGGGGAAGCCATGAGCTGGAGACGTTTATTATTATCCTCCCAACCCACACATTAAGATTTTTTTTCATGTAAGTTTTAGAGGGAAGGTAAGAAGAATTATTTTCATAGGGCGTGATTATGTGGAACTGAAAGGCTAATCAAGTGTCCTTTAGAAGGAAACCTCTCTGGTGACCCTTCGGAGGTGGGGGGAAAGGGCACCCGGCACAAAGCAGATGAACTTCATCTGCGATTTCCATAGGGAAGCCCTTCAGAATTAGGAGGACCATCAGCCATCCCACAGTCTCTTCTGTATGTCTATTGAATGGGGCTTGCTCAACACCCACATGGAACACCAGAGTTGTTGTGGGGACCCCAAAGACTTGCAATTACCTGACAAAGGACCTTCTGATAGAAACTACTGGATTGCTGTCCTTGTTAACGGCCCAGGAGAAGAAGGAGGAGGAGAGTGTCTGCCTGCTGGGTGGTAGATCTGAATTACACCAACACTTTGGGGACCTTCTCGTTCAACCTGCACTTACGCATTTCCTATGCAAGTACTTGAGTGATGTGCAAAATTGCAGGGTTCTGGAGCGATGAAATGTTTAAGGGAAAATAATGATATAACTGTCCAGGGATGGAGAACTTTGGGGGAAAAAAAAGAGGAAGAGGAAGAGAAAGCTCACACAAGTCCTCTGAGTGAACGTAAGAAATTATAATTCATCTTTAGGTGGATCTAAAAGTTTTTACTTCTGCACAGTTCATTTTCATAGTGCCTTCAAACCAAGGAGATGTTGAATACTTTTAATAATGAAGAGACAAGCTAGTTCTACTGTCAGACCCATTTTGGTAGTTCTAATCCAGAATATCTTCTCCAATTTTACATTTAGCAAGTGATTTTCTCTCAACTGGTCCATGAGAATCAGCTCATTGCTTTCTGCTTCTTTCAACGCTTTCCTGAGCCATTGCTCCTTCTTTCCATTCCCTCTCTTTGTTATGAATTTATACTGTGTGAGAAGATGAAATTTACACCCTCTGCCAGCTTATAGTTCGATTATGAGCAGTCTTGTTCCTTCAACTTTAATCTGACTTGAAGAGTGTTTGACTAAGAGGTTGCTGGATTATAATAGTTACACCAGAAAAAAATGTTCAACAACAAGGTGGAAGCAATGGATTCAATAAAGTTTGTCAGAGAATTCCCCAGTCTAAGAT